CCCCAAACCCACCCCCTGTCCCTGCACCCCAAACCCACCCCCCTTTCCCCTGCGTGCCCCCCGTGCCCTCACCTGGGGCCGGGTGAGCAGGACCCCCACGCTGGTCAGGTCGTGGCCGCAGTGGCCGGAGCGGAGCTGGGCCCGGACCCCCGCGAGCCACGAGCGGAGCCCGGCACAGGCCTGGGCACAGCCCTCGGCCCGCGCGGCCTCCGCCAGCCCCCGGCCCTTGGCCCCGGCCGCCGCCTCCACCCGCGCCCACAGCGCCCGCAGGGCACCCAGGGGACCCGTCACCTGCCCGGACAGGGACGGACGGGACCCTGCCAGCTGCTGCCCGTCCTGTGGGGGACACGGATATGGGATATAGGGACACAGGGATATGGGGACAGAGGGCACCATGGCCTCCACAGCGCCCGCAGGGCACCCAGGGGACCCGTCACCTGCCCGGACAGCGAGGGACGGGACCCTGCCAGCTGCTGCCCGTCCTGTGGGGGACACGGATATGGGATATGGGATATAGGGATACAGGGCACTATGGCCTCCACCCCCACCCACACTGCCCACAGGGCACCCAGGGGACCCGTCACCTGCCCCAACAGTGAGGGACGGGACCCCGCCAGCTGCTGCCCGTCCTGTGGGGGACACGGATATGGGATATGGGATATGGGGATACAGGAATATGGGGACAGAGGGATATGGGATATAGGGACACAGGGATACAGGGACAGAGGGCACCATGGCCTCCACTCGTGCCCACAGCGCCCGCAGGGCACCCAGGGGACCTGTCACCTGCCCGGACAGGGACGGACGGGACCCCGCCAGCTGCTGCCCGTCCTGTGGGGGACAGGGATATGGGATATAGGGACACAGGGACACAGGGACACAGGGATACAGGGACACAGGGACAGAGGGCACCATGGCCTCCACAGCGCCCGCAGGGCACCCAGGGGACCCGTCACCTGCCCCAACAGGGACGGACGGGACCCCACCAGCTGCTGCCCGTCCTGTGGGGGACAGGGACACGGGGTATGGGGATACGGGATATAGGGACACAGGGATATGGGGACAGAGGGCACCATGGTTTCCACAGCGCCCGCAGGGCACCCAGGGGACCCGTCACCTGCCCCAACAGTGAGGGACGGGACCCCGCCAGCTGCTGCCCGTCCTGTGGGGGACAGGGATACGGGATATAGGGACACAGGGATACAGGGACACAGGGACAGAGGGCACCGTGGCCTCCACCCGCACCCACACTGCCCACAGGGCACCCAGGGGACCCGTCACCTGCCCCGACAGCGACGGACGGGACCCCGCCAGCTGCTGCCCGTCCTGTGGGGGACAGGGACACGGGGTATGGGATATGGGGATACAGGGATATGGGGACACAGGGCACCATGGCCTCCACCCGCGCCCACAGCGCCCGCAGGGCACCCAGGGGACCCGTCACCTGCCCCGACAGCGAGGGACGGGACCCCGCCAGCTGCTGCCCGTCCTGTGGGGGACACGGATACGGGGTATGGGATATGGGGATACAGGAATATGGGGACAGAGGGATATGGGATATAGGGACACAGGGATACAGGGACGGGGGCACCATGGCCTCCACCCGCACCCACACTGCCCACAGGGCACCCAAGGGACCCGTCACCTGCCCCGACAGCGAGGGACGGGACCCCCCTCAGCTGCTGCCCGTCCTGTGCCCCGTTCCCACCTTCTCCAGGGCCTCCAGCCAGCCCCGGTTGGCCGCCAGCTCGGCCACGAACGCCTGGTGCTTCTGCCACTTGCCCTGCAGGTCCCGCGCGCCCTCGTAGGACACGTCCCGAGCCACCGGCAGCTTCTCGTTGAGCCACAGCGTCAGCTGGGAATGGGAACGGGAACGGGATGGGGATGGGAACGGGAACGGGATGGGAATGGGATGGGGGGGTGGATCTGGACCCCTTCCTGTCCCGTCCCATCCTGTCCTCATCCCCATCCACCCCATCCACCCCATCCCATCCATGCCCTCCCACCCTCATCCTCTTCCCATCCCATCTCACTCTGTCCTCATTCCCAGTTTCATCCCCAGCACGTTCCTGTTCCCACCTTCATCCCATCCCAATCTCCATCCTCATCTTGTCCCCTTCCTTCTCTTCCCATCCCACCTCATCCCACCCCTGTTCTCAGCCCCGTCCCATCCTAATCCTGTCCCCGTCCTCATCCCACCCCATCCCATCCTCATCTGCATCTTCATCCCCTCTCTGCCCCCATCCCATCCTTGTTCCCATCCTCATTCCATCCCCATCCCGATCCCTGTCTCACCTCCTGCGCGTCCTGCAGGAACTTCTGCAGCTCCCAGTTATCCCGCAGCCGCCCCAGCAGCTCCTGGGCCGATTCCCGGTTCTTCTGGTGCCTGTGCCAGGGCCGGGGGGAGAGACCGGATTCCCAGGGCCGGGATGGGTGGGATGGACTGGGAAGGACTGGGAAGGACCGGGAGGGTGGACCCGGGTGTCCCTCACCTGCTCTCCACCGACTCCACCGTCTCCCGCACCTTTTCCGCGTGGACGCCGCCCTCGGCCAGGAGCCTCCGGCCGGTGTCGGAGAGGGCCCGGACCCGCTCGGCCCCGGCCTCCATGGCCACCAACACCTCCTCCAGGCGCCGCACGGCCGCCTCGGCCCCCGGCACCGAACACGGCAGCTCCGTCAGCGCCAGAGCGTGCTCCTGGCACGGGGAGAGGGGTCGGGGCGGGGTCAGGGGCGGGATCGGGGTTGGGATCAGGGTTGGGATCAGGGTTGGGATCGGGATTGGGATCAGGATCAGGGTTGGGGTCAGGATCAGGATTGGGATCAGGGTCGGGATCAGGGTTGGGATTGGGGTTAGGGTTGGGATCAGGGTTGGGGTCAGGATCAGGATTGGGATCAGGGTCAGGATTGGGATCAGGATCAGGATTGGGACCAGGGTCGGGATCAGGATTGGGATTGGGGTTGGGGTCAGGGTTAGGATCGGGATTGGGATCAGGGTCAGGATCAGGGTTGGGGTCGGGATCAGGATTGGGATCAGGGTCGGGATCAGGGTTGGGATTGGGGTTAGGGTTGGGATCAGGATCGAGGTTGGGATTGGGGTCAGGATCAGGGTTGGGATCAGGGTTAGGATCAGGATTGGGATCAGGGTCAGGATCAGGGTTGGGGTCAGGATCGGGATCAGGGTTAGGATCAAGGTTGGGATTGGGGTTAGGGTTGGGATCAGGATCGGGGTTGGAATTGGGATCAGGGTTGGGATCGGGGTCAGAATCGGGATCAGGGTCAGAATTGGGGTCAAAATCAGGGTTGGGATCAGGATCAGGTTTGGGATTGGGGTTAGCATTGGGATCAGGATCGGGGTCACACCCGGGCCACCCCCGACCCGCCGTCCCCCCTCACCTGCTTCCCGAGCGTCCCCTCCACCTGCTTGGCGTCCCGCAGGAACACGTGGACGGCCAGGGCGCGGGCCAGGAGCTGCTGCCGCCTCTCCCAGCTCCGGCCCAGCTCCTCCCAGTCGGCGTCCAGCGCGTCCAGGCGCTGGAGCAGGGACAGGCCCTGGGGGTCGCTCCGGCCCTGGCTCAGCTCCCGGCCGGCGGCGCGGGCGCTCCGGTAATCGGCGCCGTACTGGGCGATCTCGGTGCGGAGGCTCTCGTGGCGCCGCAGGGAGCCCTCGGCCTCGGCCAGCGACGCCGGCACGTCCTCGGAGCCGGCGGCCGCCCGCGCCCGCGCCAGCCAGGCCCGCAGCGCCGCCAGGTCCCGCAGGAAGGCCTGGAGCCTCCGCGCCTGCCCCAGCGCGTCCCGGCGGCCCCGCAGGCACCGGCTCAGCGCGGCCCACTCGGCCTCGAGCGCCTCGAGCCGCTCCCGCGCCTCGGGGCCGCGCTCCGGCTGCTCCCGCGCCAGCCGCTCCCCCTGCGCCCGCAGCTCCCGCTGCTTGCCCTCGATGGCCTCCAGGTCGCGGCCCAGCCCCGAGAGCCGCCGCTGCAGCGCCGCCAGCCCCGCCAGGTCCCGGCCCGGCGCCCGCGTGGCCTCGATCGCCGCCGCCTTCTCCCGCATCCAGCCCCGCGTCTCGTCGCACTCCAGGCGGAAGTTCTGGATGTCCAGGGCCGAGGTCAGCGCCGCCTTCTTCCGCTCGGCCAGGGCTCGGAACCGCTCCCACCTGGCACGGGGGGCACCGGGGGGGCGGTGGGATGGGGCACGGGAGCGTCCGGAGCACCCCGGGCTGCCTGGAGAACCCACCCGGGTCTGGAGAACCCACCTGGGTCTGGAGAACCCGCCCGGGTCTGGAGAACCCACCCAGGTCTGGAGAACCCATCCCTGCACCCACGGAGTGTCTCAGCCTGGAGAACCCATCCCTATCTGGGAAATCATCCCAACCTGGAGATCCCATCCCGATCTGCCTGGAGCATCCCAGCCTGGAGAACCCTTCCATGTTTGGAAAACTCATCCCTGCCTGCAACATTCCTGCCTGCCTGGAAAACCCATCCCTGCCTCTCCGGAGCATCTGTCCCTGCCTGGAACATCCCAGCCCTACCTGGAGGATCCATCCTTGCCTGGGACATCCCAGCCCAGCCTGGAGCTTCCCTGCCTGCCTGCCTGGAAAAGCCATCCCTGCATCCTTGGAGCATCATCCTGCCCGGAGTGACCCCGTTCCTGCCCGGAGTGACCCCGCACCTGTCCCGGAGCTGTTCCCAGGTGTCCCGGGCTCTCTCCCGGGTCCGTTCCCCGGATCCCTGGAGCTCCTCGGCCGCGCGACCGACGGCGGCGACTCGGGCGCCCAAGGCCGCCAACTCCGGCTCCAGCGTCTCGAACCTGCGGGAAGGCCGGGAATGCTGCGGGCTCCGGGAGCGCCACGGCAGAGCTGGGAGCCCAGGGAGCGCCAAAAACACCGGGAATGCCGCGCCGGAGGTTGGGATCTGGGGAACAGCGGGAGCGCCGGGAATATCGGAAATGCTGCGTTGGAGGTGGGAATTCTGGGAACGCTGGGAACGCCACGTCAGGGAGGGAATTCAGAGAATACCGGGAACACGGGGAATAGCAGACAGGAGGGGAGAATTCTGGGAATGACGGGAACACCAGGAATGCTGTGAATAGTGGGGCGGAGGTGGGAATTCAGGGAGCACTGGGAACACTGGGAATAATGGGAACACTGGAGAGAGCTTCATTCTCCGGGTCTTCCTGGGGCACACATTGGATCCCAGTACCAAGGGCATTCCGACTGGGGGGAACTGCGACCCCCCCCAGCCTTCCCGAGAACATTCCCGGGGTCTCTACGGAATTCCAGCGGCGGGACCCCCCCCCGCTCACCGCTGCTGCACCACCTCCAGGTCCTCGATCCGCTCGGGAATCTCCATGGAGAGCAGCCACTGCTCCCTCTCGCCCACCCAGAGGGCGCAGGCGTCGGCCTCGCCCCGCGCCGCCAGCAGGGCCAGCAGGTCCCGCAGCTCCGTCCGCCGCGCCTCCGCCCGCGCCTCCAGCTCCCGGTGCCGCCGCTCCAGCTCCTCCAGCCGCGCCGGCAGCCCCGGCACCACGTCGGGCTCGCCGGGCTCGCCGGGCCCCGCCTGCTCCCGCAGCCCCGCCAGGGCCGTCCCGCGGCGCCGCAGCTCGTCCTGCAGCTCCCGCAGGCGCCGCTCCAGGACCCCGGCGGAGCGCTCGTCGTCGTCGGCGTCGTCCTTCTCCGGCCCCGCCAGGCGCCGGCACGCGGCCGCCAGCCAGGCCTCGGCCTCGGCCGCCTCCGAGGCCACCTGGAAGCGCCCCACGGCCGCCCGGAGCCGCCGCTCCCGCTCCCGGGCCAGCGCCGGCAGCGCCGACCAGAGCGCCCGCAGCGCCCGGAGCCGCCGCGACACCGACGGCACCGGCTCGGGGGGGGCCCCGGAGCCGCCGGCGGCTTCCACGGACGCGGCCTCGGCTGCCGCGGCTCTGGAGGGGGGTCCCACGGGTCCAGGGGTGAGTTCCACGGGTTCCACGCTCCCTCCTGCTCCAGCAGCAGATCCCACGGATCCAGGGGTGAGTTCCACGCTCCCTCCTGCTCCAGCAGCAGATCCCACGGGTCCAGGGGTGAGTTCCAGGGGTTCCACGCTCCCTCCTGCTCCAGTGGTGGATCCCCCAGATCCAGGGGTGATTTCCACACTCCCTGCTGCTCCAGGAGCAGATCCCACGGATCCAGGGGTGATTTCCACACTCCCTCCTGCTCCAGTGGTGGATCCCACAGATCCAGGGGTGAGTTCCATGATTTCCACGCTCCCTGCTGCTCCAGGAGCAGATCCCACAGATCCAGGGGTGATTTCCACACTCCCTGCTGCTCCAGCAGCGGATCCCACGGATCCAGAGGTGATTTCCACACTCCCTGCTGCTCCAGCAGCGGACCCCATCGATCCCGTGGCGGGTCCCATCACCCCAGCAGTGGATTCCACGGTTCCCCCGGATCCCACGGCTCCACCCGCGGCTCCCGCGGCCTCCTCCGCGTCCCCGAGCTCCAGCAGCTCCCGGCCCCGCTCCAGCAGCCGCTCCAGCGGGGCCGCCCGGCCCCCCAGGGCCCCCCGGATGGCCTCGAGCTGGCTGAGCATCCGCAGGGCCCCCGGCAGGTCCCGGCCCAGCTCGGGGCAGCGCAGCAGCCGCTCCTGCTCCCGCAGCCAGGCCTCCTCCTCGCCCGCGTCCCACAGGAACTTCCAGAGGCGCCGGGATCGCTCCAGGCGGAGCCGCCGCTGCCCCGACAGCGCCGACAGGTCCCGGTAACGCAGCTCCAGGGCTGCCACCTGGGCACGGAGCTGCTCCGGGGGGCACGGCTGGTACCCTGGGGGGCACGGACGGGGGTCAGGGGGGTCGGGGGGGCATGGCTGGGACCCTGGGGGGCACGG